TAATGTTTTAGCATTCACCTTTGTCTAATGTTCAGAAGATTTCTCCTGATTTGGCGGTTTGGACCTGGGTATATACTGTTACTCCCACCTCAGGAGTCATCTGAAAATGTGTGGAGTGTATTTGGATGTTATAATGACCGGAGGAGGGGTTTACTTGTATTCTTAGGTGGGTCCTACAGTGTGAAGGACAGGCCTCAGAAGGAAGTATTGTCTCCTTCTGAATGTCAGTAGCACCCCCATCTAGAAATGGGGTTGGATTCTGACAAGTAGAATTAATACTGAGCCAGAGGCCAGGCGCGGTGGCTCACGCCTATAATCCTAACATTCTGGGAGGCCGAGACGGGCAGATTGCTCTAAGTCAGGAGTTCGAAACCAGCCTGAGCAAGAGCGAGACCCTGTCTCTACTATAAATAGAAAGAAATTAATTGGCTGACTAATATATAGAGAAAAAATGAGCCGGGCATGGTGGCACATGCCTGTAGTCTCAGCTACTCAGGAGGCTGAAGCAGGAGGATCGCTTGAGCCCAGGAGATTGAGGTTGCTGTGAGCTAGGCTGACACCATGGCACTCACTCTATCCTGGGCAACAAAGCGAGACTCTGTCTCAAAAAAAAAAAAAAAAAATACTGAGCCAGAGGATGTGGCTGTTTTAAAGCTCTTATAATATATTGCCAGATTGTTTGCCAAAGACATTCTAATTGACCACCCCCACCAGTAGTGCATGAAGCTGGCTTCTCACCAGTCCCTATCTGCATTCAGTGCTCACAGTTCTTCTAGAGTTTGGAAAGGTCATGGTGAGAGGCAGCCCCATGTGGAGGAAAGACCACAGGACATCAGAGAGCCCGAGTTCAAATCCCAGCTCTGTACTCACTGGTCAAAAGACCCTGGGAACACAATTTCCTTAACTTTTATTTTTATTTATTCATTTATTTTTTTGAGACAGAGTCTCACTCTGTTGCCTGGGCTAGAGTGCCATGGCATCAGCCTAGCTGACAGCAACCTCAAACTCTTGGGCTCAAGCAATCCTCCTGCGTCAGCCTCCCAAGTAGCTGGCACTACAGGCACACACCACTATGCCTGGATAATTATTTCTATATATTTTTAGTAGGCCAATTAATTTCTTTCTATTTATAGTAGAGACGGGCTCTCGCTCTTGCTCAGGCTGGTTTTGAACTCCTGACCTTGAGCGATCCGCCTACCTCGGGCTCCTAGAATGCTAGGATTACAGGCGTGAGCCACCGTGCCCAGTCTATAATATTATACTGTATGCATATGCAGCTTTTTATCAGTTCATCAGTCGATGGCCATTTGGATTGTTTCTGCTTTTTTGGCTGTTATGATTAATGCAGTTATAAACAGTTTGTGTACAAGTTTTTGTGAGGACATATATTCATTCCCTTGGGTATACTCCTAGGAGTGGAATTGCTGGGTCATGTGGTAGCTCTATGTTTAACCTTTTAAGTAACTACTAGACTTTCCCACAATGGCTACACCATCTTACATTACAACGGGCAGTGTATGAGGGTTCTAGTTTCTCCATATCATCACCATCCAACCAGGCTCTTTGCCTGCTATGAAAGAGGAAGCCAATACACTGAGATAGCAGAGTTTACAGCAGAGAACGTTTAATTCTGCGTAGTGCTAAGGGTGGAAATGGGAAGAATTTCTCAAATCCGCCTTCCTGAGAATTTGGGAGGCAGGGTTTTTAAGAATAGTTTGGCAGGCCAAGGAGTAGGCAATTAGGTTTGTTAATTGGCTAGGTTTGGGGAAAAATTATAGGGGTGTAGAAATCCTCTAGTGTTGCTTCAGTTCTTGGGGTCACAATTCCAGTTGAGTCAGTTTCTTGGTATGGGTCACAGGTCTGAGTGGGTCAGCCAATCCACTGGAATGCAGACCTGGAAGATGTCTCGGAAACTACTAGGTTTTGAAAGGGTGATGTTATCTACAGAGAGAGTTAAGAATCTTTATGACCACCAGCTATGGGACTGGGGAGTAGCAATTATGGACAGTGACTAATTATTATTATTATTTTTACCTAGGCTTGTTCCTTCACAGTTTGGAACCCTTACCCCATTTCTCACCTTGCACTCCTTTATTGATTTGTGGAAAGGGTGGTTTCAATATCCCTCCCAACACTTGTTATCTGTCTGATTATAGCCATCCCAACAGGTGTGAAGTGATATCTTATTATGGTTTTGATTGGCAATTCCCTGGTAGCTAGTGATGTTGAGCATATTTTTTTGTATTTATTGTCCATTTGCATATTTCCTCTGGAAAAAGGTCTAGTCAAATCCTTTGCTCATTTAAAAATTGGATTATTCATCTTTTTATTATGGAGTTGTTCTACATATAGGTCCTGGTCAGATATATGTTTGCAAATATTTTTTTACATCTTTTGGGTTGCCTTTTCACTTTCTTGAAGGGGTCCTTTGAATCACAAAAATGTTTTATTATGATTAAGTCTAGTTTATTTATTTTATCTCTTGTCACTTATGCTTTTGGTGTCATGTCTAAAAAGGCTTTGCATTATTTTTAAGTGTGTGTGGAATATTAACCAAAATTAAGCACAAACTGGGTCACAAACCACATCTCAGTACATTTCAAAGGATTGAAATCCATCATAGCATGTTTTCTGACCACAAATGACTTAATCTAGAAATCAATAATTAAAAGACAACTAGAGGCCGGGCGCAGTGGCTCACGCCTATAATCCTAGCTCTCTGGGAGGCCGAGGCGGGTGGATTGCTCAAGGTCGGGAGTTCGAAACCAGCCTGAGCAAGAGCGAGACCCTGTCTCTACTATAAATAGAACGAAACTAATTGGCCAACTAATATATATAGAAAAAATTAGCCGGGCATGGTGGCTCATGCCTGTAGTCCCAGCTACTTGGGAGGCTGAGACAGAAGGATCGCTTGAGCCCAGGAGTTTTTTGTTTTTTTTTTTCAAGATGACTTTTTCTGAGGAGAGCCCAGGAGTTTGAGGTTGCTGTGAGCGAGGCTGACACCACGGCACTCACTCTAGCCTAGGCAACAAAGCGAGACTCTGTCTCAAAAAAAAAAAAAAAAAAAGACAACTAGAAAACCTCCAACTGTTTGACAATGAAGCAACAGAGCTATAAATAACCAATGGGTCAGGAAGAAACCACAACAGAAATTAGAAAATAAAATCTGACTGGCTTAAAAAACATAATAGAAAAAAAATATTTTGAACTAAATGATAATGAAGATATAACATATCAAACTTGTAGTGTGAAGCTAAAGTTGTGTTTAGTGGGAAATTCATAGCCTTAAATACATATACTAGAAAAGAGGAAAGGGGCCAGGTGTGGTGGCTCACACCTGTGATCCTAGCACTCTGAGAAGCCAAGGAGGGTGGATCCCGTGAGCCCAGGAGTTTGAAGTTGCGGTGAGCTGTGACTGCATGACTGCACCACTGTACTTTTATCTAGGTGACAGAGTGAGACCCTGTCTTAAAAGAGAAAAAGAAAAGGGGAAAGACTGAAAGTCCATTATGTAGGTATCAATCTCAGACACTACAAAATAATGAGCAAATAAAGTGAGGGAATGACCACGTGGCTACTTGGGGAGGGTGTGTGTGAGACAGCGAGGGAGACCTGGTTCTGCCGCGAAGGGCACACCTCAAAACAGACTGGCTGTGGATTTGCCTAGGTTTGTAGCTCAGCTCCCCGATAACCCTTCACGAGCTGGGAGACTTTGGCAAATCTTTTCCTCCTCTGTGTCTGTGTATCCATACAACTGGAAGACAGTTCCCACCTCCTGAGTTTGTTATAAGTTTTAAACGAATTATTACATGCAAGCATTCAGGACAGTGCTCAGTAACGAATGGGTGCTGTCCTGATTATTAGGATGGTCTATGTCTCTGTGAGGGCGAGTCACGTCTCACAGGCCTCAAGCCTGGCTTGCCCTTCTCTGCAGGCGAGAGGCCGGGCCCTGGGTTCCACACGACGACAAAGCTCTGGCATTGCTGCAGACCCAGTTCCAAGGCCCCAGCCGCCCCGTGTCTACGCAGTGCTCCCGCCCTACGGCCATCCCCAAGTGCTCCCTGAGAACAGCACCGCTTTCTTCAAGTGACGGTGGAGGAGGAGAGGGAGGAGGAGGAGGCCGTCCTCTCCCAGCGCCAGGAATCTGGCCGTGAGCTCGCCGCCGCCCTGAGGCTGCACGCTGCGTCCGGCCCACGCGCGCCGTGCTGGCGCTGCTGCTGCTGGAGCAGTTCCTGGGCGCGCTGCCCGCGAGACCCAGGCCCGGGCGGGCGCCCAGTGCCCCGGGAGCGGGGAGGAGGCTGCTGTGCTGGTGGAGGGCCGGACTCGGGCGCTGGGCAGGGCAGGGACGGCGGCCCGCAGCGAGTGGGGCGGCCCGCGCGGGACGCGGGAGCGCAGCGCTCTGGTCCGGGCCGCTCGCGCTCGTCCCGCGCTGTGCCTTGCCCTGACTCTGCACCCTGCTAGACAGGTCTGCTTTGGTTGCAGGTGACTTAACCCCAGCTCAAACTGGCTGAAGCAAAGAAGGGTGAGGAGTCTTCCGACAGGGCTACATCCAGAAGACCTGTTGGCAACATCAGGACTCTTTCTTTCTCTCTCTCATTCTACTTCTCAGTTGGGTTTTCCTATGTCAGCTTCACTCTCATTTTAGGTTCTCCGCCCACGGGGACAAAGGTGGCCCAGCAAACCCAGGCTTGTGCCTTACCAATGCAGAAGCTGGGGAGGAATAGCAGTAAGAGGTCTCTGGTCTGAGTTCCACCGAACCAGCTGGGATCTTGTGTTTACCTTTGGCCACCAAATCCCAGTGACTGACAATGAGCAAGGGGCAATTCCCCAGAGGAAAACCTGGTTGCTGGGGCAGGGGTTGGGAGACAAATAACAGGCATCCCTGTGCACCCTTTTTGGACTCGCCCGTCCTGGCCTCCAGGATCTGCTAGAGTCAGACCTGCCCTGGCTGGGGTGAGCACTGTTGCTCAGGGAGACCCACACAGACATCCCAGCCCAGGATGTCGGGCCGGTGCAGGAGGGACACAGCCATGGGACAGTCCAGAGCCAGGAGCGAAGGCTGATCTCAGAAGGGCTCGACCTGGCCTGTTGGCAGCACAGGGCAGGGGCCAAGCAGGCGCCAGGGAGGAGGCGTGCAGGGGCAGGGGGAACATGGATTTTGGACACAGCTGAACCATCAAGGCTCGGTAGATCTTGGCCTCTTCCTGGCCATGTGACTCTCTTGTGCCTCAGTTTACTTGTGGGTAAAGTAGGGATTATAATCAAAATACCCACCTTCGTGTTGTTGAGAGATATAAACAAGGCAGTGCCTGTGCAGCGCCTAAAGTGGCGCCTGGCACGGACTGAACTCGCGGTAACTAAAGCTGTTAGGGCATCTCTTTCAGCTCCCTGAGAAACAGACCTCTCTAGTTGATGGGGTCCTTCCCTCGGCCGTTGGCTGCGCCCCAGCAGATGTTGCAGGGGCAGGGAGTGGAAACTGGGAGGCCCCATCCTCCCAGGCAGTCAGCAAAGTCTTCAGAGAAAGGACGGAGTGGCGCTAAGAAGGCAACAAAGAGCCGCAGTCCAGGTGGCACGGGCGGAGGCAGTGGCAGGGGCAGGGGCCAGGCGGTGTGACGTTTCTGGAGTAGAAAGAAAGGGGGAGCAGGGGAGCATGGGGCGGTCCATGGGCCTGGAGGAGGAGATTCCAGGGCTAAAATCCTGGCTTGGCCACTAGCTAACTGTGGACTTGCACAAGTTGCTCGACCACTCTGACTGATTGTGTGATGTCTCCCCAGTCACTCGACACCTTCTCTCAGCCAGCCTCGGTCACCAGTCCATGGTGGAGTCATCGCAGTGCCTGCTTCTCAGAATGAGTTGAAGGGAAAACGAGGCAGAGGAAGTTGCCTGCTGCACTCGGAGCTGGCCTATAACAGAAGGGCACCAGTGGTATAGCGTCCGCGGCTTACAGCCAGGAAACTAAGACCCCGACAAGGGCAGGATTGCTAAGGGCTACAGAGCTGGCCAGTGGCAGAGCTGGGACTTGGGCCCAGTTCCTGCACTGCTGAGCCCACTCTGGACATGAGCAGCAGTTTTTCCACCCATCTCTCTGCCTCCTCCCTGGAATCCACCCAGTAGCTGTTGCCAGGTTACTTTTGCACCCATCCAGGGCAGGTCAGTGCAGGCCTACCTCTACCTCACACCCACCCCAATCCTGGCACCCCTTAACCACATGCTGCCTTCTCAGCACTTTTAAAGGCTGGGAATGGGCCTCCTGGGGAATCAGGGGGCCAGGTGGGCATGTCACCCATTCACCCCAATAGTGGTCGTCTACCTGCAGTTCTAGTCGTGGAAAATTTCAGAATCGGGCATCTGGATTGATTCCCTCATTCAGCTAGTGTTCACTGAGCATCTGTGGACCCGTCCGGACTCAGAGGCAAGACACTGAATGTGACGGACACAGCCTCGACCTCCCAGAGGTCAGGGCCTACCCATGGGAGCACCTAACAAGGATCAGTTCCACATCAGGTTGTTTTTGTGTTTTTTTTTTTTCCTGACACTTGAGCCAAAATCAGGAGTCTTGAAGAATGAAGAGTTTGAGAAGGACAGAAAAATGAGAACTCATGATATAGTTTTATCTTCTTAGTTTTTTCAGATGAATGTAATTGCTTGACAGGTGATGCAGTTTTATATGTGAGAGGACAGCTCTGCACCCTTTTGTCATCTATGACACCAAATGAGAAACTTCCCTTTGGAAATGGGGCCAGATGTTAGGGATGGGCCCCATCTCCCCTTACAAGGCATGACCCTCAGCAGAGGGAGGGAGGGAGGCTTGGTGGGGCAGGAGTGGTGATGCTGTGGTTTGGGTCATTTCAGGATGGGAGCTGGAGCCGGGCCTGCAGAGGCAAACTGCAAGCAGAGCGACTCAGAGGAGTCAGAGCCATGAACCACGGCCACCAAAACCCTCATGAGTTGCTCCCCTGGGACCCACATTTGCTGATGCCTGTGAATCTGAGGGCAGCTCAGAGAGGCACACAGGACCCTCAGGGGAGACCTGGACAAAATCTGTTGCCCAAGAGGTGGATTTCAGGAAAACCTCAGGAACTTACCAGGATGACCCCACAGACCAGCCTGGCCATGAATCTGGTACCTTGGGGAACAGTTCTAGTGCATGGGCAAACTTAACCTCCCAAGAGAAGACTCTTTCAGAAGAGAAGTTTGACCAGTGGGATGGTTATGGGACAGAGCCTCTATACACACACTCAGGAAGGAAGTCCAAGTGTGGCAACTGTAGGAAGACATTTCAGAGTGCCTTGGCCCTTGAGGTGCACCAGAAGAGCCACTCTCAGAAGACACCATATGCCTGCAGTGAGTGTGGGAAGACCTTCAGCCAAAGCACTCACCTAGCCCAGCACCAGGTGGTCCACACAGGGGCAAAGCCCCATGAGTGTAAGGAATGTGGGAAAGCCTTCAGCCAAGTCACCCACCTGACACAGCGCCAAAGGATTCATATCAGAGAGAAACTCTACAAATGTGGGGAATGTGGCAAAACCTTCAGCCGCAGCACCCACCTCACCCAGCACCAGCAGGTGCACACAGGGGAGCGGCCCTACCAGTGTGATGAGTGCGGGAAGGCCTCCTGCCAGAGCACCCACTTGACTCAGCACCAGCACATCCACACTAGGGAGAAACCCTACAAGTGTGACACATGTGGGAGAGCCTTCAGTGGTTGATCAGGTCTGATCCAACACCTGAGAATCCGTTCTGGAGAGAAGCCATATCAGTGTAAGGTTTGCCCCAAGTCCTTGTGCAGAGCTCCTCCCTCATGGAGCACCAGAGGATCCACACAGGAGAGAAGCCCTAGAAGTGCAGTGACTGTGGGAAGGTCTTTAGCTGAAGCTCGGCCCTCATGGTTCACCTGACAATCCATCATGGTACTGCAGTGACTGGAAGTAGCCCTCAGGGCATAGCATAAGCTCTCCTGAGAAGCTCAGCATCTAAGAGAAACTCTGAGCTGTGAAAGAGCTGAGAATAGGATGGGTGATTGCTGAGTCACCAAAATGATAAGGTGCCTGAGGGCAGACTCTGGGGCTGTCTGGCAACAATTCTGCATTGAGCACCAATGGGAGGCCCCAATGAACATAAAGTGATTCAAGCCAGCTGAAGAAGCTTCCAGAAGGATCCTGTTGTCCTCTATTTCCCATGCAGGCCTGTCCTAGAGAGAGGACAGCTAAGCTGAGGACTGGATTAGTTCTCAGGGACAGGGCAAGTGTCTTTCAGAACTCAGTGGTCCCCAGATGCTCTGGGCAGGCAGACTTCAGCTTCTTGTTCTCACTTGGCTACTCTTCCTACCTGTTCCTCTGCTGCTCAGCCCAGAAGGGACACCTGCCATGCCCAGCTCTGTGCCTCAGCACCTACTATTTCCACTCCACCCTATTTTGTGCCCGACTCCAAGGCTGACTTATGAGACTGCCTCTCCTGCGAAGCCCTCTCCAGACACTCCATCTCTCTCATGTTTTCTCTGCCGTAACCCTTGCCCAACAGCTGTTTCTCCCTCCCCCTCTCCCTCCACACCCCACGAGTCACCAGCCCTTTTGGTTTAACCTAAAGCTCACCTCTAATTCATCTTCTCCTTTCCCACCACTGTTACTTTATGTGAGCCCTGAGTGCCTTGTGCCTGGATTATAGCAAGAGCCTCCTTCCTGACTCCTTCCTGCCTTCATTCCCTCTCCCGTGTCATTCTCCAGGGGGCTCTTGCTATTACCCAAATCTGATGTGTCACTCCATGGCAAAAAGCTCTCCAATGTGTCACCCTTCTACAACAAAGCTTCCTGAATGGGTACAAGTATGCCAAGATATTGGTTCTTTGGGCCCCGAGCAACCTCTTCTGTCATCCTCATATGTGCATACAAATATTGTCCTTTTTTGGTGCAGTGATGTGAAAATGGTTTCAATGTACTGCCCTACAGGATAAACCAAACTCCTTCATCTGCTGTTCACAATCGTTCGTGACCTAGCCTTGTCTGGCCTCGTCGTCTCACCTTCCATACCCCAGCCATGTGGAACCTCTACTATGGCTCCTAAAGAAGCCATATTTTTTGCCACCTACATGCCTTTGTACCTGTACCTGGAACCCTCCTCTCCTCTTTCCAATAAATGTGCCTCCCCAGTGAAGCCTCCTCAACTTCTCTGCTTCCAGAGCACCTCATAGTTACCTCTCTTACACCTTCTACCATGTTGTTTTACTTGTTTACTCCTTGCAGAGCTCACAGTCTGTGTTTTTCAAGGATACTATGAGCTCCTAAGAGCAGGGGCCATGACTTACTCACACACAAGACTCAATAGGCCCTGACCAATGTCTCCTGAATGGATGTGACTGTGTCTTCCCTGAGGCAGTCACCATGCTCTGCCCCACATCATCCTTATACCCACTTACATGGATGTTCCCCACCAGCTCTGGAGCCTGCAAGGAAAAACAATCTGATTTTCTTGGGGCCCAGCATCCAGACAACCCTAGCATGCATGCAGTGGCCTCAATAAAATGTTACTGTATTGAGGCTTCCCTGTCTAGGGTCCCAGAGCCCCTAGTGTCATAGACTCAGTAGTTGCCAGCATTCTGTCAATACACCGTCTGGGCTCCTTTCACAATCCTGCAACCTTGTGCCATGTTTAGGTTCCTTGTCTATAACTAGATGTTGCAGCTTCTGTTCTGTCTTATGAGGGTGTCAGTCTTTTTGCTTCTGTTTCTCTGATGGTCCCATCCTGTGTGAATCATTGGATCTACCATATTGTGTACTGGTCACTGTCCCTCTTTCTCTCCATGTATCTCCCTATATTTTAGATTCATTCCCTCTGTGTCATGAGTAAACAGAGCCATGTAGACTGAGTAGGGAGGTGCAAAACAGGAAGAAGAGTCCCAGGAAGACAGACCTCGTGGAAGTATTTCTGAGGGAGCCTCAGACACAGCCAGAGACTGCCACAGTGTGGCAGAGGTTGAGGGGCTAAGAGAAAGATGACAGACTTGGGGGAAGCTCAGGGATGAGAGACACACATTCCCAGCAAGACGTTTGGACAGGCTTCCGGGAGACTGCAGAGACAGAGAAGGTCTGGGCCTGCAATCAGCCTGGAGAGCCCCACTCCTCGCTGGGGCTGTTTTAGGGAGCTAAGTGACTTTCCTGGATCTCTGTGACCGCCTCGTCTGTGAAGCAGCAAGACCCACCTTGTGCAGTGCCTGACCCGAGGCCTGGCCCTGGCCCTGGCTCTGACATGCAGCAGGCCTCTCTGCTCTCCCCCTGCTCAGCCCTGTCCCTAAGGAGCTGAATCTTCATCTCCCCGATGCTTCGGGCATCTCCACCACCTATTTTGTCATAAGATACCCTGTTTCCCTGAAAAGAAAACGGAGTCTTATATTTATTTTTCCTCAAGAAGACACCCGAGGGCTTATTTTCAGGGGATGTGCTGATTTTTTTTAAGTACAGTACAACAATCGACATTTATTCAAATAGAGTGAAGTCATCTTCTTCTGGAACATCATCATCACTCTCCAAACCCCAAATTCCACCCTGAATTTCCTACGACTCTATTTCCTTTAGAACTATTGACCCCAATCTCTCACGTGGAGCCACAGAGCTCTCACGGGGCAGATGAGAAGGGCTACTCGTCTTCTTTCCCGCTCCGTGATGACACGCATGGGTGCATGTTGGCGCCGAGTGGCCACGCCCGTCACTAGGGCTTATTTTTGGGCTGGGGCTTCTATTGTGCAAATGCTTAGACATCCTGCTAGGGCTTGTTTTATGGACAGGTCTAATTTTCGGGGAAACAGTATGTGTCTGCTTATGCCTTTCCAAAGATGGAGGAGATCAGGGAGCAAAAAGGAATCTTTATTGAGGGTCTATGTGTGCTGGTCGGTCTGCCAGATATTTTAAGTACATTGTCTCAATCCTCACACAACACTCTGAGGGTAGGACAAACATCCCTATTTTATAGAGGATGAGAAGGGTGGAGAATGTAACTAACTCACTGGCCAAAGTCACACTGCCAGGAACTGGAAGCACTGGGATTTAAGAGCTCACCCAAATTTGTCAGCAATTCCAATAAATATAACCATACTATACTCAACAAACCAAGTAAAAAGAAAAATTCTAAAAGATTGAATTTATTTTAAATCCAGCCATATGTTCTTTAGAAGAGACATACCTAAAACAAGGATATGGGAAGTTGAGGGTAGAGAAATAGAAAAAGATATACAAAGCAGGCATGAAGCTGAAAAAAGCCAATGGAATTATGGTCATTTCAGGCAAAATGGATGTTAAGGTAGAAAAGCATTATAAAGGTCATAGGGTCATGATATTTTTATAAAAGAATCCATTAAGAAGATATGATAATTCGAAACCAGACACATCATATAAGCCTTACTCAGAATCACAATGAGAAACTGATGAAACCTTAACTGTACTTGAAAATGCTAAGACATTCTTTATGATGACAGCAAAAAAAATTTTTTTTGGATGAAATAATGCCTGAAAATCAAAATTTGGCAAAATATATAAACTTACAAGTTCAGAGAGCACAATAAACCCTAACACAGCATAATGTCTAAGAAATCCATGCCCTGGCCAGGCAGAGTGGCTCATGCCTGTAATCCTAGCACTCTGGGAGGCCGAGGAGGGTGGTTAGCTCAAAGTCAGGAGTTCAAAACCAGCCTGAGCAAGAGGGAGACCCGTCTCTACTATAAATAGAAAGAAATTAATTGTCCAACTAACATATATATAGAAAAAATGACCTGGGCATGGTGGCGCATGCCTGTAGTCCCAGCTACTCGGGAGGCTGAGGCAGTAGGATTGGTTGAGCCCAGGAGTTTGAGGTTGCTGTGAGCTAGGCTGATGCCACGACACTCACTCACTCTAGCCTGGGCAACAAAGTGAGACTCTGTCTCAAAATAAATAAATAAATAAATCCATGCCCAGACATATAATACACTACTGAAAACTAAAATGTTGAAGACCACTGGAGAAAAACTAAACATAACATTAAGGAGACAATACAAAAGATCATGGGTTTCTCGGCAGAAACTATGGAGGCTAGAAGGCAAAGAAACATTTTAAAGTAAAAAACAAAACAAAAACCCCATCAACCAAGAATTCTATATCAAATGAAACACATCTCAAGAACAAAGGCAAAATACAAACATTCCAAATGAAGCAAAGCTAAGACATAAATCTACTGATGGCAGCCCTGCTTTAAAAGAAACGCTAAAGGAAGGAATTTTGGTAAAAGGGAAATAATACCAGAGGGAAAGCTTGAACTTTGGGAATGAAAAAATAGTAACAGATATTGCAACTATTTTATCTTTAAAATATGTGTGGCTGTTGGCCGGGGCGCAGTGGCTCACGCCTGTAATCCTAGCACTCTGGGAGGCTGAAGAGGGTGGATCACTCTAGGTCAGGAGTTCAAAACCAGCCTGAGCAAGACCCTGTCTCTACTAAAAATAGAAAGAAATTAATTGGCCAACTAAAAATATATAGAAAAAATAAGCCAGGCATGGGTGGCCATGCCTGTAAATCCGCTACTCAGAAGGCTGAGGCAGAAGGATCGCTTGAGCCCAGGAGTTGGAGGTTGCTGTGAGCTGACGCCACGGCACTCTAGTCCAGGCAACCAAGTGAGACTCTGTCTCAAAAAAAAAAAAAAAAAAAAAATATATATATATATATATAGTTATATATTGTGTGTGTGTTGTGTGTGTGTGTGTGTGTGGTGTCTGTGTCTGTGTTGTGTTGGCTGTTGAAAGCAGTCTGGTGTTTTGTCTGGTGGGGTTGTCAATGTATTTTTTTTTATTTTTTATTTCGGCATATTATGGGGGTACAGATTTTAAGGTTTAAATAAATGCCCATTTCCCCCCTCCCCCCACAAGTCTGAGTCTCCAGCGTGACCATCCCCCAGATGGTGCACATCTCACTCATTATATATGTATATACCGGCCCCTCCCCTCCCACCCGCCCAATACCCTATTACTGTAGTACCTATGTGTCCACTTAGGTGCTGTTCAGTTAATACCAATTTGCTGGTGAGTATATGTGGTGCTTGTTTCCATTCTTGGAAACTTCACTTAATAGTATGGTTCCAGCTCTAATCAGGAAAATATAAGAGTGTATTGCACCATTGTTTCTTAGAGCTGAATAGTACTCCATGGTATACATATACACATTTATAATTCATTCTTGGATTGAGGCACTTGGGCTGTTTCCAGCCTTGGCAATTATGAATTGTGCTGCTATAAACATTCGAGTGCAGTGTCTTTTTTGTAGAGTGTCATTGGATCATTTGGTAGATGCCCAGCAATGGGATTGCTGGATCAAATGGTAGATTCACTTGTATCACTTTAAGTTGGATTTTGTGAGAGGTGAAAGGTGTGGGTCCTGTTTAGCCTTCTACAGGTGGCTATCCAGTTTCCCAACACCATTTATTGAAGAGGATTCTTTTCCCCAGCGTATGTTTTTGTCTGCTTTGTCAAAGATTAGATGGCTATATGAGGATGGTTTTATATCAGGATTCTCACATCTGTTCCACTGGTCCATATTCCTATTTTTGTGCCAATACCATATTGATTTAATTACTACAGCGTTGTAGTATATAGTTTGATATCTGGCATATTAATGCCTCCATTTTGTTTTTGTGCCTAGAATGCTTTTGATATTTGGGTCTTCTTTGGTTCCATGCAAAGTGTAAAATTATTTTTCTATATCTGTGAAGAATGCTGATGGATTTAATAGGTATTGCATTGAATCTGTAGATCAGTTGGGTAGTATAGACATTTAATGATGTTGAGTCTGCCGATCCACGAGCATGGTATGGATTTCCATCTGTTTACATCCTCTGCTATTTCCTTCCTCAGGGTTTCATAGTTCTCCCTGTAGAGGTCTTTTACCTCCTTGGTTAAGTATATTCCTAAGTACTTTAATTTCTTTGTTGCTATTGTGAAGGGAATTGAGTCTTTGATTTGGTTCTCAATTAGATTGTTGTGGGTGTATATGAATGCCTCTGATTTCTGTGTATTGATTTTGTATCCTGAGACTTTACTAAATTCATTGATCAGTTCCAGGAGTTTCTTGGTTGAATCTTTGGGGTTTTCTAGATATAATATCATATCATCAGCAAACAGTGAA